CAGAAGGAATTCGCCTCCAACAATTCCCCTCCTTTTTTTCTTAGCAGGGGCAGTCATAATGCGTGGGGCTGACCGCCTCACCCTAGGCGACCCCCTGGATGGACCTTCGTCTACATCCTCGTTTGCCTGGCCCTCAAGTTCCAGGGCCCCATATCTGTTGTGTAAAGGCAACCGGGAAGGTGAGGGAGGCCGGGAGGGGGTTCGCCTGGTACCCCGAGCAGGGACCCATTTCCATTCCCTCCCGTCGCTTAGGTCCCCTCTTTCTACCTGGTGGCAAGAAGGCAGGGGATCCTCTGCTTCTCGCGGAGCCTCCATCTGCTGCCTTTGCCTCAGGGACAGTAGGGTGCGGCTCCACCAATCTATCTCCCTCTCACACTCCCGGATACTCCTCAACCTTTCTACTTCCAAATACTTTCCAAATCAAATTCCTTTCCACTTACTCCAAATAATGGCATAAGTATGGTGGTAAAGTTGCCTTAGTTCTATGAAATACTTCAGGATCAAACACAACACATCCAGCTTGGATTTATGTATCTGACCTAAACTTGCCTTGTATTCCCCCCAAAATACTGTCAGTACAGATGGCGCTAGATCAAAAGATGAAACTCAAGAGTGAACACCCTTAAGTATTTTTGAAGTAAAGGGATAATATGATTCTTAAGAGACCCTGAGCAGTAAGGTACTTACTTTCCATCAGACTACAACTTTGACTCTTAGGCACTCCTGCAATTAATCTTTTCTGTTGAATATCAGGTCTCTCCATTGCAATTCCTGAACTAAGATCTGTACAGGGCAGTGACCCTGTTTACCCTAAAAATTACAGCCATGGTCTCATGTATAATATAAGTGTATCCTAACTGCATTACCTCTTGGACAGATCAGACAAATTAATATTATAATTACTTCAACGTGTTTCCATAGGATGATTATTGATCTATTTGGGACACTGGAAGCTCCTTTGTAATAGATTGAGAATACGATACACATATTACTTCAGCTTTTTATTCACATTGCACTTTCAACATGCCAGTGGTCCACACTAAAACTCCTTCTCCTGAAAACCCAAGAAATCTCTTTTGATTAATTTTATTGGGGTTCTAATTTCTCTTGCTATAATTGAAGAAAAAAAAAAAGGCAACAGCAACTAGATAGAACAGTTAATCTGAAATCTACCTCCAAAATTCAAGAGCGTATTTCTATTACAGCATTATTAATCAGACAAACTCAGTTTTGCAACTTTCTCCATTGTTCACAACCAGCTGTCAAGCTTGTATTCCAAACCTATGAAGTAATTTTAATCATCACTACAGATGTTACTGTAAAAAATATTTGCAGGTTGAAAAATAACTACAAGAAGTATTAAAGACATCAGCAGTGAGTATCAATTGCATTCAGTAAGATAAGAAATTTCAAAGGTTGTAATAAGGAATGTAGAACAACATATTGAGGTACATAAAATATTAAGTTGAGCCATAGTTTAGCATGACTCACATAAGGCTATAAAAATGCTGTTACAGCAACAGCCCACAGTTAGCAATAAACTGTAACGTCTTCACTAGGAGAAGATTCTACTTTACTATGAGAAAATCTAGTTTGCCCACACTGACCTTTACATTTATCTGAAGCAATTTTAGTGTAGTTCACCAAAGGCTGACCCATTTCCTCTCTAACCCTTACCAGAACAGACCATAAAAAGTACTGTTGCAGGAAACAATGTAACTGCTTTCACCTACTCCAAAACAGTTCACTCAGCTTGTGTTCAGCATTAATATTCATATTGAAACTCCTGATGGAAATAATAGGCACTTGCTTTTTCAGTGAAAATCAAGTATCATTTTTGTTCACTCCCCACCTAAAGCATATAAAAATGTAAACCTCTGACTGCTCACAAAATATTTAACACTTACACACTGATGGGAAAGCTAACTTAGTTGCACAACTCATAAGTAAAGGCAGTATCTTTTACTAAAACAACAGCTGCTTTTACATTTACTTTCTAGTTCTATACCTTTTCCTGTTAAATAGATACACAGTTTCTTGCAGCTAAAGTTATGCTAGGTCTGTGTCTCATCAATTCTGAAAAGATCCAAGATTTTTGCCGCCTTCACAACCCACCTTGATCACATGCTAAGAGCAAAAGAAAAAAAGTCAAGTAGTTCCTTGAACACCGGGATTATAAAACCTGACTTTCTACAATCTTTCCCCATTACGGATTCTCTGATGTCTCATAACACAGCTGTACTCACAGTGTACCTTTAGCCTCAGACAGGTGCTAATCTGAAACCCATTTCTCCACCTCAGAAGTAATTTTCATAAAGACTTAGAAACATTAATTTTGAGACCTCTGCTTTATTTATGAATGTGACTCAAATTTGGATTGAACAGGTGCAAGTATTTGGGAGGGAGCAGCAGATGATAAACCTCACCACCTTGCCTGAAGAATTTATGGATTCAAAAAAACCAGAACTAACATGGTTTGTGGGATACACAAAGGGGAAAGCAAAACGGAGCAACACAACTTAGTTAAAAGTACTAAATAGCTAGCAAGAGCCTACGGTAGATGAAGAAATAACTGATAAACCTGTGTTATGTAGAAGCTTATGGTATACATCAGAAACAGAAGTTGTGCCTAGATCATTTAAACTCAGCTGTCATCAAATGGCCATCACCAAGAGGAGGACACAAAGCATCCAGTTCCATGTCCGCACCTATTTATGTCCTTAGGCATTGTCCACTGGGCAACCAGGTACACAAAGCTACACAACAACCAAAATGCATTCTACCCCATACCAACCATCGCTGGAGGGTATAACAGCTAGCTATCGAGCTACAGAAAATCCCCGTACTCTTCCATTTCTGAGGATCCTGCCCGGTGCTTCCTGTAAAGACTAAGAGCCAACACACTGGCAACACATTCACAGTAAATCTGACCTGCAGACCAAAGAAACTTAACACAAATGTAATTTTCACATTATAAAATTTAAAAATGTGACAGTGTCAGAACAGAAACTTACAGAAATTAAGTGTCAGAAAAAATAATTATTTTGAGTTTCAATGTAAGATAGCATGAACAGTTACAAGAATTGAGGACTCTTGAGACAAGTCAGGACACTATGTTGGAGTACATCTATATCTGAAAAGCGAAAAACAAACCCAAAATCCCAGGCTACTTCTCATCTTCAAGGCATGCCAACTCTCCTTTTTTGCAGTCAGTTATGTGTGTATGTAAATCAGTTTCACAAAACAATAAAATTACAGGAGGATTTTTTAAAAAAATGGAAATTTATGAAAGTAATTGTTCTACAATTAAAGACTAATAACTGCACTTGCTGGAACTTTATATGAATTATTTTTAATATCAAATATACAGCTCCCATACATTTAATTGTATACAATTTCTAGCAACATTTTATTTCTCCAATCACATACTACACATCAATTCTTGGTACCAACTCTGTATTTAAGAAACTTCTTTAGACAAGTTTTGGAATTTCCTTACACTTGTCCTATAAAATAAGAAGTTATTAGCATTTAAGGAATGATGGAATTTTAACCGATTATGTCGCTGATCCCCCTAAAAATTAGGGCCAGACAAACTTGCAATAAGTACATCTGACTTTTCTACAACTGCTGCTTATCTAAGCAGGCACAACAACAAATACTATCAACTCTACTCATGTTTAACAGTGAGAAAATGTTCAGTATAAAGCAACGGTATACAGTCAGAAAGATGCTGACATGAACTGCATTTAATAAGGCTCTAACACAAATTAATTGGTCAGCCAGGAATGAGATTTGGAGCAATTTATCATGAGAGGTAGCAATTCTTGCAATCCCATTGCTGCCATTTTCTGATATGCTTGCCTTTTTCAGAAATATGACTTCACTAATTAATTGTCAAGGTGGAGAATCACATGAACTGTCATACGATGGTAATACGCTATAGCACCAAAGTCATTATCGAAAGAGTCAGGTGCTAAGTACCCAAAATGCAAACTATTCCTAAATTGTCACACGTATTCACAATATAAGTGAAAAACATTCAGCTTCAGAGGAGCTTTACCACCTAAAGTGAACACTCTTACTCTGTGGCTGTTCAGAACCTACTCACTTCTTTAGGGTCTTAATGTTTTTAGAAAGCACAAGTTCTTGATTTTCTACATCAAGTATTAGACATCGAAAAAAATATTTTCCTGTATTTCACTCAAATAGGTTTCCTTTAACAGACAGCTGAAATAACTTACGTATAAGGATAAGAAAAGAGAGTGACTCTGAGGAGTAGTCAGATTTTCAACAGAACTTCCTTCAGAACTGCTAAACTAACAGTCCTATAGATAAGATTTCAATAATTCTCTCTGTACTTAATTCCTCTGGGTAGTGTATTTGCACAAGCAAAATCATGACTGTCTGATGACAATTACAGAATAATATGCCAAATTCCCACACCTTGTGTTGCTGAACACTATTTTTAAAGCCTCCGGAACTAAATTACTTTATGTGGACACAAAATAGTAAAATTTAAAGACAAATGACAGGTTAAGTATATAATGAAAACTTTCTCAGAGTACAGAAGCAAGTTTGGAATGTCTTGGGCAATGTTTCTACTGTATGCAGCATTAGTACTGAAATAAAAATACTTCTGCCACTAGAGCATACCTCATTCTCTGAAGTGTTCTGAATTATACCAACAGAAGTAAAGTTACATTTACACCAGGCAAACTCACATGCCTAGCAGTATCAGCAAACTTATTCTAGCAAATATATATCATCTGGGCAAATAAAATCCCTCTTTGAAAGCTTTCTCATTTAGAAAAATGTAAAGAAGCCATGAAAATACCCACAGGAAAAACGAGGTGATATCAGCAAAAGTGGAGGAGGAATGGAGTTTCCTATGTAAGAAAACTAAGTGCTAAGCCTTTCTCTTCCTCTTCTTCCCCATCCTCAGAAAAGAAACAAAGAAAAACATAAAAGAAAATCTATTTCAGATCTGGGAACTCCATGGGCAGGTGTCTGTATACATAACATAGCCTCAAGGCCTCAAATTATCAACATTCAAGAAAAAAACCACAAACAAAACCCCACCACGCTCCTCTCCACTTCCATTAATAAAAGTGAAATGAACTATAAGTTATACGCATCAGTTGACACCTAACATATCACAAGATACCTAACATTTCATGAAGGAAATGAAAGGCTTCCCAGCTGGTTGTTTGGGATGTCTCGCTTCCATCAAGTCTCTCCACTACCAGTCTTTATAGCTCCATGGCCTATTAACAAAACTCACTTTTCCCTTTTTCTATTCTGTTACTCAGTTTCCCCTCTTCACAGTTCTACAATAAAAACAATATGACCTTTGAGATCGCTATACTAGTACATAGAATTACATAAAACAGTAAATCTGTGAACTATATTGCAGTAGAACTACCCATACTTTCCTTGCTCATTGGCTACAGCTTCACTTGTTGATTCTTGGTTTGCAACAAAAAAGCTTCAGAGCAGCAACCACACCAACTGGTTGTTTCTGCAGCACACACTGCAAAGGGTTTAGGCCTTAGAGGCTCTACCACAATTAGAAGAACCCAAACACACACACACAAAACTGAATAAGCTTGTAACAAAAGTTTTGATTTATCGTTTGCCTGCTGTCCTTTTTTAGCAACGAGGGGAAGTTTCTTCCTCCAGCCCACCGCTCGCTTATAAACGCGGCGAGCCACTGAGACGTGCCAGTGGCACCTGCCAGGCCTCCAATCCCTCTTCCCCCGAAGGCCCTGGGCGGAGAGGAAAGCACCGATCTCTCTCCCCCCACGTAACCAGCAGCAGCGGAGGGGCGCAGGCCGGGAAAGGCCGGGCAGCCCGCCGGGCACCAAGGAGGGCCGGCCGGAGCGGGAGCAGCACTTGCCCCCAAGTTTCCAAGCCCCACACACGGCGCGAAGGTGTTTCCGATCCCCTCCCCCAAATACCGGCACCGCCC